ACTAAACATAGACTTCATCAAGACATGACACGACCATCGGTGGACGGGAAGATGTACGACGAATTTTCGAATTCGGCTTCATCTTTGAGAATTGAAGTGCGTGAATTTGACGAGATTTCGAATCCGATTTATCCTGTCGGCACGGGTCGAGATCAAGAAGCATGTGAGTTTTACCTTATGCGCGTCTCGATCTTGACGTTTGTCGTGGTATCGTCGAAGCTTGTTGGCGGGAGGAGCACGCTGCCGACGTCGGGAGAAAAGAGAGGACGCCGTATGCGGTGGAAGAGATGGTCGTCTGTGCGAGAGAGAGGCAGAGGGCGACGACGGGCGGCAGCAGGTGGCGGATGGACGACTATGGTCAGAGGTGGGTGGCAGTCGATGGTGGCTGCCGCACTGGTGTGTGTTGTATGTGTGTGAGAGAAAAAGAAGTGGTGGTAATAGTGGTGGGACTCACGTGTAGTATGTGTATTGGTCTGCGAGATGTTAATTATCAATTTGCCTTTATTTATTGGTCAAATGTTTATATTTGACCCCAATTTGTACACTTATTTACAAGAATGTCGCTACATTCATATGTTGTATCCATTGGTATACATTCATTCTTATTTTTTTCACTATCTACTATTCTCATATGATCCCTTATATATATATATATATATATTAACCAAACAATTTTATTTTATTATTTATTTTATTATGTAATTGTTATTATTAACTAATAATAAAGTCGCATTAAATGTTATTATATACTAAAGCTTTTCTCAAACTATTTATTTAAAATTTTCTTTTTCAACTCATTAAGCAATTTTTTTTATTAAATCCAATTAATATTTTTTATGGCATAAGCATACCATTTAAAATTTCATATGTAGCTGCTATAAATCATTATTTAAATATTATTTTATCAGTTAATTTGTCATAATCAGTCACAATTGCATCAATATAAAGATTAATATGTAACTTAAATATTTTATATTTATATTGTTTTTTTCTTATTAATGATAAAATTTATAAAGTTCAATTTATCTATTATCTAATTTATAATTGTAAGTATTACATAAACCAGTCCTTCTAGGGAGCCAACAGTTGGCTCCCTTATGGAGCCAACACCAAATTAAATTGCTCCATGTGGGGATGTCCCACATAGAGCTCATGTGGGACATCTTTACATGGAGCAATTTAATTGGGTGTTGGCTCTATAAGGGAACCAACTGTTGGCTCCCTAGAATTACTATTACATAAACACACATGTAACATATAAAATTTATTTGTATTTGTGCACATGCATAAATACTAGTTTATTACACAGTTTTTTAACTCGAACCGGCCCGATGGGTCGACCCAGGATCCGGCTGACCCAGATGTAGAACCGGTCCGAGTAGGCTATTTGGACAGGATAACAATGAACCCGGTCAAAACCCGGTCAAAACCCGGCCAACCTGGCCTTGATCCGGTCGACCTGGGCAATTGACCCGTTCCTTATATATTTTTTATTTTTTAAATGTTTTTTTGTATACAAAATAAAAACTATGTAAATATGTTGATATAGTAAATATTTATTGTGAGATATAATTCTTTAACACTTTGATGTACAAATTTTATATGCAAAACATTTGTTTTTGTTATTTTTATTTATATTTATATGTCAAAAATATTATATATATAATTTAAAATTTTTTTAAAATTAATTATTCGATTCAACAATTGACTCGTTGACCTGACGATTGAACCGGTGACCCCGGTGACCTGCCTGGTCGATTTCCACTGGGTTTAAAAACTATGGTTTATTATTAAAAAAAACAGCTCATAGTTTGTAAATTAAAAACACAGGTCGATAATTTCCATCATCTCCACGAGCTCCTCTCTCTCTCTCTCTCAAAAACACACACACACACACACATTCAAATCTTACATTTTTATCCTCATATTCTTTCCTCGCTGAATCTTGGCCTAGGGCATATCTTCTCGGAACCACCATTATTTTTCTTATGCTTTCTTTTTCTCATTTCAATTGAAGAACGAGCGGTAGATCTGCCACGAGACGGAAAATTAAGCAAGATGAGCGCGGCGGATCTGGTGGCTGAGAGCACACATGGGAATCTAGACGAGCAGATTTCTCAGCTCATGCAGTGCAAGCCTTTATCAGAACCGGAGGTCTGTTCATTTCTTCCTTATATATTCTTCTAATTTGGCTTTGATGATTTTGTTTTAATCTTATCCGGTTGAGCTGTTGCGGATCTGGTAGATGTGAATTTGGCCATGTCTGGAGAAATGCGTGATTCTTGTTCGCTTTGTCATGTAAAATTGCAGAGATTTTATAGTTTGGGCCAGATTCTAGGGTTTCTTGAAAAATTATACGGATTTTTGGAATAATGTACTGATCTGTATAACTTGGATCAGTAAATTTGGTATTTTTTTTTTTTTTTTGAAATACAATCTCTCATTGTTTTTAACGAATTTAGAGATTGAGAAGGGTCGCATTTTTAATTATATATATATTTTTTATTGAGGAATGAAGGTTATGGTATTTGGGATGAAAGAGAATGAGGTTTGTTGTGGATGAGGATTTACTGATGAAAGTAGGGATAAATTTGAAGAAACCGGGACCATGTACATAGACTTAGCGATTGAGAAAATCAAGGTTTTGAAATTGACATTTTGGATGTGTACCATCCTGAGAGCATCTTGTTGCAGTTCTTTGTTTCTGTTAATTGGGCATGTTAGTTGAAGATTTGAATATAGATTTGCTGCATGTTCACCTTCTGCTATTCGTCATAGTTCTACATAGTGTCCATGTTTGTGTCTCCTGCTTGAAATAACTACCTTTGATTGGTCAACCAGACTTGTAGTTTTGGTGTTGTATGGAGTTTGGCATTGGTCTCAACCCCCATATGATTGTGCACACCGGATCGTATTCTTAAGATAACCTTATTTATGAGGGACTGGTTTTGAAGAATGGACATCTAATGTGACCAAAATGAGTATCAAGTCTTACATGATTGATTGCTTCATGGCAATGGAGAATCATCTGAATGAATAATAGTAATTACCTAGATCACTGGAGAATTACTAGATGAACAACAAGAAATTGTTTGTATACATTGAGCAAATATAGGTTCGATCAAAATTTACTTTCGAGAGTTCCAAAAAGCAAGATTTTTTTTTTATTATACTAAATATAGAAGAGGATTGGTACATTGAGCTATGTAATTTACATAAATGGCTTATAATGGCCAAATCATGCATCAACATCAACATCAACATACCCAGTATATTCCCAACCGGTTGGGGTCTGGGGGTCAGTTGTACGCAGACCTTACCCTTGTAATTATACAAGGAGGCTGTTTCCATAGCGACCCAAGGTGCGTTGCGTCGTTTGATATATTTTTCTAGAAACTTCACTAATAGAAGAAGCACTAGAATTTAATTGAGCCATTTTGATCTAGTCAATTCTTAGCACTATGCTAGAAGAATTGTCAACAATGACTCTTCCAGCTCCATATGCAATGGACATAATGGCCAAATCATGCATTTTTTTTAATTTATTTTTGGATTTTTAATACCTCTCCACCAAACATGTATAACACACCACGTGTTGGGCGGTTCGGTCGATCGGTTTCGTGTCACCCATATGATGATTATATATGCTCAAGATTTCATGTGTACAAATTAACAAGATTTATGAAATTGAGGCATTCGATAAGCCCATGATTACTTCAGGTTGAACTGTTAATGGACGTGAAAAAGATGAAACTACTTATTTTTTTTATTTTTCCAACCTCTTCTCTCTCTCTCTGCTCAATACACACACACACACACACACACTCTCTCATTAGGTTTTTTATTTTAATTAGTTCCCTTATGTGCTCTCTTGTCATAAATCACTGGGTCGTTATAATGAACAATCTAGTTGTAACTAATTTGTGACATGGTTGCTATGTTTTTTATGATTTGACACTGGTCTGATGAGCCCTTTTCTGTTGCTTGTTTTATATAGGTTATTCACTATATTTTCTGTTGGAAGTATTAGAAATTTTTAACAGTCCTATTGATTTTGTAAATATAGGTTAGGGGCTTGTGCGAAAAGGCAAAAGAAATACTAATGGACGAAAGTAATGTTCAGGTATGTTCAATGTACTATCCTCCAAATATTTCTGTGTCATTATTGATCGGCACTTAGGAGAGGGCTTTATTTTCAATCATCAAGCTTTGTTAAAGTTATACATTTGCAGTTGCTTAAACAATGAAATAGTAGGTTAATTCTGATCAATTAATTAATTTATAATGGCTATGTGAACTCACCTCATTTCTATATAGTTATGAAATAATATTCTTTGTTTAAGGAGTGAAGGTTTATTGGGGATGTTAAAGGCGGGATACCTTTAACTATGCCAAGTTTTATGAAAATAATGTTTTCAGCCCCTTGGTCTAGATTGTTGCACTGCTTGAATTTTTTATAAATCATCCCCTCACGATTATTCATTTTATTTTTTATATATTTAAGCATTCCTAATTTGTTCTGCATTTTAATTGTTAGTTTAAGATGCTATATTGATTTTCTTTGATGTTGTATGCAGCCGGTAAAAAGCCCAGTTACAATTTGTGGTGATATTCATGGCCAGTTTCATGATCTTGCCGAACTATTTCGTATTGGAGGGAAGGTATCATAGTTGCCTATGAAACTATTTCATTGTATCTGTGCAGTCTTATTTTGTTTATTATTTATTTTGAGATGGATGATACCTAAGATCCTAGCTGCTTTGTGTTTGTCGCATGCATTTTTGACTTATTTCATTGTTGTATGTTTGAAAATATATCGCTTGTTGTCTCACTACTATTATGTTTCTGTTTTATCATTGACAGTGCCCAGACACAAACTATCTTTTCATGGGAGATTATGTGGATCGTGGCTACTATTCAGTTGAAACTGTAACTGTAAGCTCAAATTAAATGACAGTTTTTTTTGCATTATCTCTACAGTGCTCGTGAATTTTGGTCATGACTCATGATCTCAACTGTTTGAGTTTGTTCCCTCCTGTTTTTCTGATGATTCCTCGCTTTGTTCTTGTTTGGTCGTGGGTGGTTGCATGGATCCACTATCATGTATTGTGTTTCTTGTGATGCACTTTACATAGTTCTTTAGGAATTGTAGTTATTGGAGATGCTTATAGGCTTTTATGTCCTGCAGCTTTTAGTGGCTCTGAAGGTGCGATATCCTCAACGGATCACAATTCTTCGAGGAAACCATGAAAGCAGACAGGTATTTTTATTTTTATTTTTATTTTTAATTTTACATCTCAGTTATTCTGTAAACATCTTATGCAACATATGCCAGCTGCATTTCTGCTAAAAAAGTATTTAATGAATTTAGGGCGTTTTATGGATTTAAGCATCTGTTATGGATTTTTTCCATGGTGTGTGAACATGCCCAATTTTATTAGTTACCACGAGATTGATATTATTTTTATGTCGTTCTAAGTTGGTGCAATCAAAACTGCATGGCAGTTGGTATAAACTCTAAGACTGGAAGACTGATTTTATTCTTGAGTGGCTGTTACAGATCCAGGTTAAGTTATCCAATTGGTTACCTGTTATGTATGTATGAGTCTTTTTTTGGCATTTTTTGTCGTCATCTTGCGTGTACTATTTTCCTTTTGTTTTCTTACTTTGTTTTGTTAACCTTTTGATATAAGGAACTGAACCTCTTATATTATAGGTTTCATCTTTATCTATTGCTCCTGGCTGCTGAATATATGTGTTGTTCAAATTAGCCTTATGTTTTCAGCTGATGCTTGAAGTTGTTAATTTTTTCTTCTTGCAGATCACTCAAGTATATGGATTTTATGATGAATGTCTGAGGAAGTGAGTTTTTTCGTCTCATATATCTGTTCCCAAATTGATTTAGAATGATGCAAATATACTTTTGTTCTGTTTTCTAGAAAATCTCGCTAGAGTTTGATTAAGTGCTGCGTACCTAATATTCTTGTGCATTTGATTTTCCTGATTAACTCAAATCTTCACATTTTTCATATGATTTTACAACAAACATGATTCTGGGTCATAGTGATGCTAGTGTAAATGGATGAGAATCAAATTAAAAATCTTATAGACTGCACATCTCATCCATTTACAAAATTCTTATTAGGATGTGATTTAGTACTGAAATTTTGTAAATGGATGATGTGCAGTCAATAAGCTGTATCCTTAAAATTCAAAAGCATGGCCTGATGCAAGTCCTATATTTGTTAAGCTACAAAGCTGTGGTATCTAAGTATGTATTAGTGTTAACTTTGCCTGCATATTTAGATAATGTGTGCTTTTGTTTATACTAACATTGATACGTAAAAACTCCCTCTTTGACTACAGGTATGGTAACGCCAATGTTTGGAAGATATTCACAGACTTGTTTGACTATTTCCCTCTGACTGCATTGGTGAGTAGAAATTACTTATTAATGTTGCCTGATTTCTTGCTGTGATCCCTTTTTCATTTTTTCCCGCAGTTGGGGTTTATCTTATCTGCCTTAGTAAGTGAAAGTACAGCTTGGTTATCAATAGAAAACCTTATTGTTTTTGCAGGAACAGAAATGTGAAATAATTTAGTTTGTAACTGCAACTATATGCATCTCTTATGGTGTCAATTTGTACCTTCTTTAGGTTTTATTTACATAGCGATCATTTTGTAGGTTGAATCAGAGATATTCTGTCTGCATGGTGGATTGTCCCCGTCTGTTGAAACCCTTGATAACATAAGGAACTTTGATCGCGTTCAAGAAGTTCCACACGAGGGTCCAATGTGCGATCTTTTGTGGTCTGATCCTGATGATCGATGTGGTTGGGGTATCTCACCACGTGGTGCTGGGTACACTTTTGGTCAGGTACTTAGTCCATTTGTGTAATGCAGTAATGCTTCTAATTTTTATTTTCTCTTTCAACCTATATATGAATCTTCCATTCATACTCATTTTTGCAGGACATATCTGAGCAATTCAACCACACTAACAATCTCAAATTAATTGCAAGAGCCCATCAGCTGGTTATGGAAGGATATAATTGGGCCCATGTAATTATTTGAATTCATAATAATCTTATGACCTTGTTGTATTTCATGTATTGCCGTAGGTCGAAACTGGACATTCATTGTTGATTTTGGCCTCTTTACCTCAGGAACAAAAGGTTGTGACCATTTTTAGTGCACCGAACTATTGTTACCGGTGTGGAAATATGGCATCCATTTTGGAAGTCGACGACTGCAGGGAGCATACATTCATCCAGGTCTCTTTTTTTGTCCTCACCCATATGCAGGATTCACATTCACAGGAACATGTTGGTTATGCCGTCATGTAATGTATGTTTTGTGCCTTGTGATTCACTGCAGTTTGAGCCAGCTCCAAGGAGAGGAGAACCTGATGTTACCCGTAGAACTCCCGACTATTTCTTGTAGATATCGACCTGTAGACACTCTTGGCAGCCGTCTGAGGCTCAGACATGCCGTGTCCTGAGATTTGAGCATCAAGTTACTGTGGCCTTTCTTGAAAGTGTTGCGAATGTGCAGAAGGCTTGTAGGATGGTTGATGAAAGGACCCTTTTGTCTTCTAAGTTAGAACCTATATTAATGGTTATATATAGGTTGGGGAGAGTTTGGGCTTGGAAGATGCATTTGTGTAATCGTGTTTCATATTTTATTTTTTATATTATATTGTTGGCCCACATACAAATGATCTTATTCTTTCTTTTATCTTCAGTACAATCACTGCCTGTGGACTGCTGTTTTTGTGCAAGTGATTCGGGTGTTCTATCTGTTGCTTAAACTTTGTATTTTGTTGTACCTTTTGTTAAGTAGCCATATCTGATCTTTATCCTGCTGTAGCGAGAATCACACAGTGGTCGAGAAAGGAGCTAATTGACGAAAGTTAGGAATGTAGCAACAGGCAGTACTGCAGTACGCAGATTGAAAACCTTTGCTATCTTACCCAGCAGCTCAAAGCAAAGCAGAACTAAGAAAAACATCTACCCAGAGGGACCTGGCTAGACAAAAAGTCGAAACAAATTACAATTCCACAAGGCTGAATCAACAATCGTCTTCTTCAGTGACCACGGGTTTTGGAAGACTCACAAGTTTCTTGCTTTCCAGAGTTGTCCCGGGATGTAATGTATGTTGGCAGTTGGATTCTTTCTTTAGAAACTATGTCATG